TCAGTTTTAGTAGGTTTGTCAGTTATATCGTAGTTTTCATTTGAATCATTTGAGATCTCGTGTGAACTAGTAAGAACTTTGCTAATAGATTCGTGGACCGGCCCGTTCCGAAAATCACGCTGAACATCTTTTAGTGTGGGCCTACCACGAACGGCGTGTGCATTTGTGTGTGAGATCAGCGTCCTAGTTTTGATTTCCTTCATTGTCTTGATACAACTTCTTCAAGGTCGTCGAAGCTACGCAGCTTTTTTTGTTGACCACGAGGCCGATCTTTTGAAACGAAGACTGCAGACTATCGAAATCGCGGGCGCTACCACTTTGAAGCCAAAAAATCACAACAAAACGACGAAAAACCAGCAGCATTTTAAGACATGGTCTTCCACAGGAAGCCCATGTAATGAACAGAATCACGCCATTTCTTCACAAAATCACTCAAAAATGTTTTTTTTTAAATATATTTCAATAATTGGAGGTGACAAAACAAAAAGGAAAAAAACATTAATGACTTTTCTTCGGACGTTTGTATCATGATGCATGATATCAATGGACATCAATGTGGGTTGTGTACTAACATTCAATTAATGATGCGTCGAAAGCCCCTCGTTAATGGGTTAATTGAGGACGGACACAGAATTTAGCAAATAAAAATTAACTTGCATTGTGAAGATAAAGAGAAGCCATTTCTGTTAGTAGATTTAAAAAAGACGTACATATTGGTGTACGTGAAATTTGGGCGTGGTCGAGCGCGTAACTCGAAAAGCGCGTAACTCGAAGCGCGTAACTCGAAGCGCGTAACTCGAAGATTACCCGATCCCCTAAAAAAAACGCAGATTGACTGACGGGGCAAAACTGGAACTCATCATTGAATACTACTAATCATTGAATTGCTTAGCAGCCGACGTAAATCTCTATTCTAAGACAAATGCCATTATTCCATTCTTGAGGGAGAATCAGAACATATCTGGCATCAAAAGAAGGATTGAAAGTGTGCTTGACAATGCTGTTCTTATCTTTGTTGCCTGTAATTGTCTTGCCTGATTCAGCCAAGGGAGATGCAGGGTTGATGGTCGTGCTGTCATAGCGCACTTTGTAGTTTTTAACCCATACTTTCGAACGGGGATGACCTTGTGTTGCAATACCAGTGATCGTGTAAACTTTGGCAATATCGACCTGCAGCCATTCACCCTTAGTATCAGAAGATGGGGACCAGCAACGGTTTTTGTTCTTCAGTCTTGCCTGACCTTTAGTTACAGTAATGAAACAAAATATAAATGTTAGAGAAAAGTATTGTTTTAGTCTAATACTAATTTATTTCATTCATTTTATTTTAATTTATTTAATTTAACACTTAGTATAGGTAATAGAGATGTTCCGTGTAAGCGCACTAACCATGATAATGTTTCACTAAATATGCAAATTTGCACGTACGAGCGAGACAGTACTTTTATTAGCAAATCATGTATAACATACAAAATGTTCAAAAAAATTTGCTTTACATTTGCTTGTCTGTAAGAATCGAGCCATATAAGCATTTTGCGGCGGATGCAAAAAAATCAAATTTAATAAAAATTGCTGGAAAAAAATGTGCTTATAAAGAATCATAATAAAAATCATTTCCCAAAGTTTCCCGTTAAAAGAACGTTTTTATGTTGAGTTATTGATCTTAGAAAATCAGTAAATATTTCGTTTTCACGTTAAAACTTAACCAGACAAGCCGAAATTGTGATATGTTATTGGTAAGACTTTAATTGTAATATTTGGCGAGAATAGACTGTAAAATTAAATTATTAAGCATTACTAAAAGCATTATATTTCTCCCTTATATAAAACTAACTAAAACAAACTATGCTATATTGTAGTAACTTTAACTCCAAATTACTAGATGTCCAACGCGTACTTTGTTCTCATATTCCGTTATTTGAAAGAGAATCTAATATATAATAGTTAAGTTATATAATAAAAAAAAGTTTGGGATTTTTAAGTTTTGTATTCTTTTTCGTAGCATAAGAGAAGTCGTCATTCACGTCATTTATACGATTCTGGTATTCCCTGTAAACCAATGACACTTAGCATAAATGTACGTCTATAGATGGTTTCATAATCAATAATATAACGTTATTCGAAGAGTCGATGTGTTAGAGGTAACAACAGGATTTAGATGAAAAGACTAATCGAACAAATGATAATTTATGCATAAAAACTGAGAAGAAGTCTCGTTCGGGCTTGTCGATTTCATTCGTCCTGGAATGTGTGAATGTCGCGCGGCATATACGCAGAGCTTGTCTTTCTTGTCTTTCTTCCTCTATTTGAGATATGAAGACCGATGCCGAGAATACTTTTAAACATCCTTCTTCAATGGATCTTATTGTCAGGTACTG